GTGGCCAAAGGCGGGGTCGAAGAGGAGGGTCTTGAGACATTCCTTGAAGGAGGTAAGGGAGGGAGTGGGGCGAAGGGACTGTAGGATGGAGTTCCAAAGGGCGGGAGCAGAGAGGCTGAAGGCTTGACCGCTGATAGTGGGGCAGGCTGGTCGGAGGATGTGGAGCAAGCGGAGACTGCTGAGCGGGGGGAGCAGGGCGCATTCGATATTGATAACCAAAAGCATTGATTCTTATTAAAATAGAACCTAGATCAAGCAGAAAAAGGAACAGTCCTAATACTGCAAATAGTACTCGCATTTATTATCGGCCCTCATGACATTGTTGAGATGTCTCGAATGCTTCACGGGATTTGACTGCGTATACGTAAGAAAATTTTCTGTCAATATGTGCACAGTAGCTGTACGTTGATGTTATCTGAAGATTCTTGGCCCGGCTGTAGGTTTGTAGCACAACCTATAATTAGCTGCATACCCTGAAATAAATTATAAAAAAATTGTAAATCACAGTAATTTTTTTTTGTGTAGCATATTATTAAGTTTATCTTAAATGGTAAACACTTAGATGGTAAATACTGAGGACACCAGAAGAATTCGCCTTCACCTTTCACATTATCGTAACCAGATTTGCAGGGAATTACACAACACAAGATGTTTTTCTGCTCCAGGAGTTTTTCATGTCGTCAAAAATATTAGTGTTTGCCTCTCGTGTACCAACACACCTGCATCATGTTACAAGAAATATTTAGTGTTGTCTGTCATATTCAAAATGTCAGAAAAAATCTCTGCATCAAAAGAAACCCAAACCAGAACTGCGATTTGTAGGATTTGATAAATGCCAATCGATGCCGTTCCCTTGAATGTTATTCTTCTAGTTTATGATGATGCTATCTTCTCAATTGGATTATTGATTTCTCATTCACACTGCAGTAATAGTAATAATCCTTGCATTTCATAGAGCACTATTGGGAGCATTGCTCAGAGCACTTTGCAGGATTTTACTGTAAAGTGTAGTGACTATATTATGTCGTCAAGTGCAGCAGCCAATTTGCCTACAGCGAGGTCCCACAACCAGCCATGGACTGAGTAACTAATTTTAATAGATAATAAATGTTATCTGTGGGAGACAACAGGTAGATGTTATCTGTGAACTGATAATCGACGAGTCTTAATTCTGCTGCAGTATTGAGTTGGGGATGCAAAGGGAACGGCTCGTGCAAAAAAAAACAATTGCTTGGTCGAAAAGTAATTTAATCCTTCTTGTTCTTGTTCTTAATGAGCTTGTATTATTCATTGACATAACACCTCCAGCAGGAGCCTGTGTGAGCACAGAGTGATATATTTTTTGGTCAGCCAGCTGGGTGTCTGACACATGTGGAAGCCCATGTCATTCAAAAAGCTGGACACATGTTTGCTTGTATCTTATCTTATCTTATCTTATCTTATCTTATCTTATCTTATCTTATCTTGTCTGTCTACCTCCCTCCCTCCTTCCTTCCTTCCTTCCTTCCTTCCTTCCTTCCTTCCTTCCTTCCTTCCTTCCTTCCTTCCTTCCTTCCGACCGACCGACCGACCGACGTGAATTCCTTTGCGTCTGTCTGCCCATTCTGCTCGCCTGTTTATATCTTCGTGGCTGTTTCTGGGACATTACTGCGAGCAAAATGGCTGCCGCGTTGGAGTACAAAGACGCGAACACTACACTTTTAAGAACAACTCTGTGAAATTGCTTGGAGGCATTGCGGAGTGGCAATCCTAATAATGGTTGCATCAGGTCATCACGGCAGCTCAAAGTGCTTTGCAGGATGTAGTGTAAGTCAATCAATAAAAATCTTGCAGAGCACCGTCACCACTGTAACGTGTAGTGACTGTGCCTTTTGTGGGACGGTGCTATGCAAGGAATATTTACCACGAGAGACCTGTTTGATCCTGGCTCGACTTGGAAGGTGAGGAGCCTGGAGGCTGTCGTACACCGCCACCCTTTTAATTTTAGCTCCAGCTGATGCCAGGTTATTGTTGAACCCTGTCATACACGACAGCTGATGTTTAATTTAATATCATTTCTAGGCCTCGTTGGCCTGCGCCCTGGGGAAAATCCTATAAAGAACAATGCACAAATCAGCAGTAAACAGCGACGCGTAAACCGTCAACAGCAATGCCTATATATTCTTAGCTTTCAGACGTTAAATGTGTCTTCCAGACCCAGAAATTAACAGCTCTGGCAGCCACGAGTGTGAACCGTTGGCATCGGAGGTGCAGTTTGTCAAAGTACAATACTCGATGCCGTTGCCAGACACAATTAGCGTGGCTGAATGAGTTCCCTCTCTGTGTGTTGACATTGCTGGCACAGCTTGCGCACCGAGCACAGTCAGCTCACTTTAACACAGAGCACTCGCTGTAGTTACTGCTCACAGTCGATGTATTACTGAGCGCAGCTGAGAAAAAATGCTTCGTAATTCACGGCTGGTTTCCTTGACGCGACGGACAGGGCCTACTCATAGCCAGTGGTGGCCAACTCATGGCCTGCGGGGCCGGAAGCCAGCCTCCCCCGAACATTCAGGCGAGTGTTCAGTCGCCAGTGTTTTCTTAATTGAAATGTTTTGTTGCTTTATGTCGCAATTCAAGAGATATTCAACCAAGAATTTTATTTTATTGGCCCACCGTAAAGGTTGGCCAAATACTGGCCTCGGACAATATGGCTTCCGATCGTGTCATAGCTTTCTAAGAGAAGATTGGGGAAAAGTGTACAACAACAACAACAGCAACAGCTTTTAGATAGTCCCCTCACAAAGAGCGCTTGTTGTACTAAACTTATCGGACTGAATGTGTCGACCTTAGCAAATTAAACTGTAAAAATCGCTGGTCCGAGCAACGTTCCATGTTTTATTATTGATTAGGAACATTTCAGCTCTATCTCACTGTCTGTCGCAACCAGAAGTGATGCTTCTCCTCTGATATCTTGAATCGATACCTGAGTGCTTTTCAAGGTCATTATGACGTTACTCCTGATCTTTCACCCACAGAGGACGTAGACGCTGGATTTATCTTTCTTTACAGATACAGCCCTGATTACAGCCTTGAGCCCTAATTACAGAAAGATGGAGAAACTAATTGCCACATAAAGCTATTGGCACCTTAGGCTCTGGAGAAAGCTTGCCGGAGAGCAATATCAATGCCAAACTATGCGATTTTAGCTGGTTAGACTCCAGCAGACTCCAACAGTCTATCTCTGGGATTCCCATGTGTAGGTGGGTGGGATGCATGGAATTCTCAGCTTGGTTGGAGACTCTGAAGCAGCGGTGATGGGTTTCCGCACTTGTCAGACACCCGGCTGACCAAGAAAAATCACTGTGCTTGTTTCTGTGTGCTCGTGGCTGCGTAAGTTGCTGCGTGTGTGGCTGTATATGTTTAACAGCATTGCAAGGAGCCTTCCACCCCCTCCCCCACCACGATTATGGAGATTAACTCTGTCAAGGTGAAAGCCTGAAGCACATGAACGTGGCAATAGAAGACGATGGTCTACTCTCAAGTCTCTGCCAAAACCTCTTTAGCAGGTGCTGTAAAGGGGATCCTATAATGAAAGGGTCAGGCTGGCTAAGCTCAGTGCTTCTCTTTGACAGCTCAGTGCAATGAGGAGTGAGGAAGAGTGTACAGTAAGCTGTAATTTTCAATAATAATAATAATATTGAGAACCGCACTACCAAATCCCACGTTTACACTCCGCTTGTGTGTGAGTTAGCGTTTGCTAAGCACTGCAGAAGGTTTGATGATAACCTTTCGATTTAGTGCAAACTCACGCTGAAGAGCAGAGCGAGGACTTTGGGGAACTTTGCCTTTTTAGCTCAGTGACATTTACAATCTAATGATCACTGCAGTTGGTACTGCAGATTAAATACAATCACCGCATGAAGCTCTTTAGAATAACATTAAAACGAGACAAAAGACGGCACTCGAAATCAAAGAAGGAAAATCCGGAATGGAAATCGATTAAAAAAAAAAAACGTTAACATCATAAAATTTAAATGATTTGTTTCAAAATAAGGTCCGGGCACTTTTTTTCTTCTCCTTTGCGTGTTAATGGCCTAGTCGGGAAATATTCAATCAGGAAAATTTGCTTTGTTGGCCGACCGTAAAGATTGGCCACCGTTGCCTTAACACGTAGTAACTGTGTGTTTTTTTGTGTGTGCGAATGCGGCAGCCAATTTGCACTCAGTATTTTCCCACGATCAGCCTTGAATTCAACGAACGATTTTATTTGGGGGATTTGTTGGCCAGGACAATGGGGGAAACTCCCATCTCTTTTCGAGGAGTGCCATGGAACCTTTAACCCGCACCTGAACGACAACACAAGTTGCTTTTATATATCGCCTCTCACGTCGGGAGGACGTCCCAAGGCACGAGACAGTGAAGGGGTTTGCTCCCGAGCTGATGGTTGGCGTCAAGAGGGGCGGAGAGCAAGGGGGCTGGAGGTAGAAGGATGACCAAAGGCCCGGTCGAAGAGGAATATCTTGAGACGGGCCTTGAAAGAGGCAAGGGAAGGGGCGAGGCAGAGGGGCAGAGGGAGGGGAACATGGAACAGCCCATAACTTTCTGACTTCAAAGCGTCAATGAGCGTACGTCATTTGCAATCACGGATGTGTACTATTGACAGGCGTTGACCACGGGAGCATTAGGAGTTCACCCACCTCCCTCCACCTCAATGTCACGTGTTCTGATTTCTTTCTTAATTGACCCTGATGAGTAAGGTGAGGAATTTTATCCCCAACAAGCCTGATGGGGGTATAAGGTGAACATCATTCTTACCACAAGACTACGCAGACCATCACCTTTTAAAGGCAATGAAACTGACTCCTCTTGACTGTTCCACACGGTTGAGTGTATCAACAACATGTATTTATATAGTGCCCCTCACGCATGGTAGTGTCCCAGAGCTATCGGTATCTGTGGTTTGAGACCCCTGGATTTTGCACGTGAATGAAATATTCTTGCCTTTTTTTTCTCTGTAGGTCGAGCGAGTCTGTATGAGAAGGCCTCTTTGCGTATTGACCAGCTCCGCTCTGAGGACCAGGGGTGGTACGAGTGCAAGGTGCTTATGTTGGACCAGCAATACGACACATTTCACAATGGCAGCTGGGTGTATCTCACAGTAAATGGTAAGTAACTCTGCTTGAAGCCGGTGAAACATGCTGCAGATGTGATCGACTGATTGCAGGTTCCATTTCACATCCGCATCAGTTTGTCAAACCGGGTTGTGTGTCACAAGGATGAATTCAGCGGCTGAGTAAAAATCACGCTTGATGCGTCGCTTCACTTGCACGTCGTTGATCTAAAAAGGGTGGCAGCAGATAGTCAATGACTCTCATGCATCCTGCCAATAGGGGAGAAATCCCACCTCGGTCTAGACTGACTCTATTTCAGAGCATTCAGGATTTGACAAATTGTTGAATTCAATTTGAATTTTGAAGTTGGTGACAAGAAAGCCAGCCTCACGTTGAGACTATTTACGTTGACGTTACCAAATTCTTCCCAGGACTGACAAACGTCAATCCAGTCAATCTAGACCCAAGTGCAGTTTCTACCCAAACGAAGGTAACGCTAGCAAAGGTATAATAATGTCTCTGTGGGCGAGGTCTCCCATTAGTATGGTTGTTTGATTCGTCTGATGTGATGCGCAATGTTCCATCACTGAGAACCATTTCCCAATCCCAAATACATAAAATTGTCATTCTGTATAGAAAATATTGTCGTGGCTATACAATGTCATTTTGTATTGCATTGTGTTGTACGTATTGATTGTAAGATAATATCGGGAGAGATAAAGGGGGAAGGAATGCAGCTGTTCCTCAGAGCATGTGAGTTCTCTGCACTCTCCCGAAAAGCAGAAAGGTTTTATGTGATGATTAAAAAGGCCACATTTTCCTCATGGGAGGATATTAAGGCTTTCTGCCCAGAATCTAACATTTGCGAGTGGTTCGGTAGATGTAAGCTGTGAAGAAAGCTTGCTATGCTAGGTTTAAAAATAGGGTTGAAGAATATCAAATCAATAAGGTGATGTTAACTTGTATGAATCATTGGTTATACCGCACTGTGTCCAGTTTTGGTCACCGCACTTCAGGAAGGAGGATAGAGAGGGTGCAGAGATTTACGAGGATCTTTAATTATCCAACCCCAAGAGGTGATTTGATATATGAACAGAGACTAGAGGACCTGGAGCTATTTTCTATGGAACAAAGCCAGTTGAGGGGAGAACTGTAGAGGCGTTGTAACATTATGAAGTGTTTTGTTGGCTTAGATAAACGTGACACCATTTGCACTGGTTGGTGACTTAAAGACATCAATTGGAGGTATTTAGCATGAGGGCAAAGGAGGAGATCAAGCTGATTGAGTAGATAATTTTTCTGGACATGTATTCAGTGAATGAGGAAGCACTGATCAGTGATTAAGCTCTGTTATAGTGCTGATCAGGGTCTTATGAACCTAAGTACTGAGTTATAATTGGGCTCCATATGGTCAGAACGGTGGTTCAGTTTATGAGAAATTTTATCGTAAGCCTTATTTTGACAACATAAATTCTGTAGGCCTTCTCTTGGTAGAAGAATCTTTGTGGTAGCACTATCAAAACATTTAATAATAATCTCATTGAACATCTTACATCTGTCCTAGGATCAGTCACTTTACTCCATCCCTTTCACCTGCATTGGACGTAGACTTACGTTCGGCTGTTTAATGTGGCGTTAACATCATCGACGTTCGTCTTAGATTGACTAAACATGTTGGTTTGGCAAGAGTTTGCAATTGGAGCATGTTCCTACACGCACACAGCAATATTTTCCACATGTCCTTAAATTTATGTCTCTGTGAGGTCGAACCTGCAGGTGTACACATCAGTTACTATGCAGCTGTGCTCAGACAATACAGTAAAACTCGCATAAATTTTATCTGTATAAATCATATAATCGCCTAAATCGTACTTAATAATAATAATCCTTGCATTCGCTATTGCGACTTATCACGTCTTCGAAACGTCTCAAAAACGCTTCACAGGATATACTGTAAAGCGAATTGACTGTATATTTTGTGGGCGAAACGTAGCAGCAAATTGCGCACAGCAGCGTCCCCACAAACAGTCAATTTCCTACTGGATCGATCTGAATGTATTTGCGCCAGTTCATATGAACAACAACAACAACTTGCGTTTATACGACGCCCTTCAGCCGAACGAGTCTTAATGACCACGTAGCTCGTAACACCACTACCGCACTGACTGTATCAAACGGCTCAGCTTCTCTGTACCAGCAGAGGGTTAAGGAATAGACGTAAACCGATCTACTTGGAAAAGCATTGCTACTCCACAGATGAGCGTGAGTCTTAGCAAGTAAAAAAAAGGGATGAATTGTACTTGATTCTTCAAACCAAGATATTAAGATCCTTCAGTTACAGGTCAATTGTAGTCAAAATGCACAAACGAAAGGATACCCGATGTAGACTTCAGTAAGTAATTGTTGGTGACAGTTCTAACAGAAATATCGTTAAAGACTGTTCGGGCAACAGAGCACGATATACTGAATTACACTTTCCTTTCTGTAACATGTGAAGCAGCACAATCCTATTAAATGTAAACTGTGCAATGTAATCCCAGGGCAATTTTCCTATTTTCCGTGGATGACAGTGCAGAGGAATCCTGTTAATATAAGCTTTTTTCTTTCTCTAATCCTACCCACTGTCATACATATCTGCTTTAAGGTTTTTGGTCAACAGTGAGCACAACAGTTCGTCTAATTCAATGTGAAGGACAGAAACGCACAGTGGAAACTGAGATTATCAGGTCTTGTGTCTGAGAGAGGTTTGTGTGCGCAGAGACAGCTGGGCATCTGATCCCACCATTCACATGGGCAGAGAAACGTTTACTTTCTCCGCTCGTAAAAGTCCAGACATGTTGCTCATGTCATTGTTGAGTAGTTCACCTGAAATCTGACGTGTCCTAACATTGTGGAAACTTCGGAGCACGTTGCCAATACCTGTACCATTGGCCATCTGTGCGATGTGACGGGGGCCACTGTGCATTGGGCTGTGCTCGATGCAAGCTGGGCAACTGTCGACATGCTGCTATTTACATTTATCAAATTATTGACTGAAAATGTTTTAATTAGGGAAGTGCTCAGGAGACTGTGACGAGATCAGGGTGGAGAGAGAGAGAGAGAGAGAGAGAGAGAGAGCTGGAGCTCGGAGGAGCAAGCTAGCCAGCGGGCCACGCACATGAAGCGAAATTGTCTGTTGGGATCAGAATTTTATGAGGATTGGGGTTTTAATGAGACTCCAATTTGAAGTTAAGTTTGTCGAGAGAATATAACTGAATCAACAGTTTTAGAGTAAGGTTCGAGTGGCAGTCAACATCCAGTACCTTTCCTCCACCTCCACCACATTGGGTGCCTCTGTCCGTATCTCCAGCCAACGTAGCCTAAATCCTTGTCCTCATCCTCCCAGACCAGGTCTCCCCAGCTCTGCTGCTAAGAAAATCCAACTGATTCAAAATATCCTCGCCCGAACAGTTAATAATAATCCTCGCATTTGATGTAGCAACGCAGCACGACATTGACACGTCTCAAAAGTGCTTCATAGGTTTTGCTGTCAAGCAGAATGACTTGGCCTCTGTAGGCAAGCTAGTTTGCGCACAGCGAAATGACACAACTATGCCTGGCAACGAAAGATCCATTGGCCTGATCTCAGTGATTGGAACGGTAGAGTCAACTGTCAGAAAGGAAATGGGAAATTACTCATCCAAAATTAATGTCATGAAAGCACATGTTCAGAACCCACCAACCTCATACATAGACTTTTTTAAGGAACTGACATCCAAAGTTCGCAGGGGAGAGCCATGCAACATAGTTTACCTAAATTTATAAAAGGCATTTGACCAAGTAGTGTACTGACCATTCACATCACTCGACTCCTTTACAAACTGATGCCATTAAGAATCCAGTTCCCACAATCACAGCTCCCAAACTCTAACAGAGTTTGATTTTACTGCTTTTACAGTTGATTTGCTTCTGACATTCCCGCTTCGTGTTAGATAGAAAGGCGTTAACAAGACAATAACATTTTATGGAGGAAATATAAATTTTATTACATTCTCCATGGCAACTCAGTGTGTATTCTAAAGGTTGTTGTGACCAAATCTGCGTTCTGGGCGATAGGAATAAAAAGAGACACTCGGGGAAGGAGTCGTCTATAGAAACAGAGAAACAGCAATAGGCCATTCAGCCCCTCGAGCCTGTTCCGTCATTCTATAAAATCATGACTGATCTGTACCTCAAGTCCAATTTCCCACCCTTACACCGTATCCCTTAGTACTCAAATATCTATCCACCTCAATCTTGAAGATGTGAATGGATGCACCACTTGTTAACAAGGCAGTGTACTGAGACCTTGGTGGATATACCTGAACTAGAAAGGGGTGAGAGATAGACTATTTCCTCTAAAAAAAATCCTTGCAGTTAATGTTGTGTCTTATTACGGAATTAAGACGTCAGAAAACACTTCACAAGATTTACTGTGAAGCGTAGTGACTGTATCCGTAGGTGAGCGTGGGAGTCACAAAAAACCAATTGACCAGTTTTATTTGGGAGGGGTGGGGGGGGAGGTTGTTGGTCAAGTCGCTACTTATGAAATGCTTTGATGTGTTTTTTTTTAAAAAAGCACGATTATAACCTGTTTGCCTCATATATTATGAATAGCTGCTTTGGGCAAGGAGCTGGTGACCAGTTGGAACCCATGGAATCATATCATTCATGGGTGACACCCTTGTCAAACAACAACAAATGACATTTGTATAGCGTCAGGAGGACGTCCCAAGGCGTTGGCAGGGAGAGAATCTGGGGGTGGTGGGGGGGGGGAAAGAAAAAGCAACAATCAGCAGATGTGCGGCAACGAGCAGATGGCCAAATCAAAAGCGAACGCAATTTCCAACCTTTAAAATACCTGTGAAATTGCTCCAGATGCTGGGGAACAAACAAGGCTTTGAAATATTGTTTTCACTCCGATGTTGTTCCCTGGCATTCTGTGCTGCTCGCTTGAGCACTAATCAGCTTTGCGCAGATGGAATAATGATACTGTCTGTGAATTTCCTGATCAGGAGCGTCAGCAGGAACAACGC